TATATATATATATATATATATAGTCATTTATATCTCTATAATAAGTGAAATTTGCTTACTTAATTACAGTTACGTGTGGGGGGACACTAGGACTAAGCCAGCTTACTGCAACATTTAATCAACAACTGACCAAACCACACTATTTTTTTATTTATTACTAAAGAGACCATCTTAGCACCAACATAACTGGTTTGTTCCACTTTGGAGTAAGCTGTGGGAGGAAGAATCAGTTTTGTTGTGTGCTTCCTTGACTGATGAAGCCTTCTGGATGGAAGATGAAACGTTTCAGCACAAAAAAAATAAAAAATAAAAAAGAAACTGTCCAGATGACCTGACTGAAAATTGTTGGATTGTTTATCTGGATTATTGAGCATGGACTTTGTTTAGTTGTAGTTTTTAGAAACCGGACCACCTGAAAATTGCTATTAAAAGTTTTTTTTTTTTTAAATGTAGGTTCAAGCTTGTCACTTTCATTCAGTTGCTGATGAACACTATGTATTCTGTGTTTTCTGTGGATATTTAGTCTACCCTCAGCGTCATACATGGCATTGAGAACAGATTAGAAAGCTGAGCGTGTTCATCAAATGAAGCACTAAAGAAAAGACATTAACATAAATTACAACTTTATTACAGAAGAAGCAGCTGCGAGTCATCTTAGTCTGCTGATGATTCACGATGAGAAACTGTGATTCTCATCACATCCAAACGGGAGCAGAGATAAGGGGTGTGGGGGCTCCTCTGCTGCTCGGTACCGGGGGTCAGGAGGTTAAATTCCAGAGTGTGTAGGGGGGCTGGGGAGGATCAGGAGAAGAGGCAAGGGGGGTGTCATCATCCAGGGAGGAGAAGGAGTGGTCCTGGGTAATTTTTGCTGGTCTAGGTGGGGCAGGAACTCATTCTAAACATTCCCAGAAGACAGGAACTCAAAACAAAAGCAAATCCACCAGCCTGCTCTCCTCAGAGTTCAACGCACTGCTCTAAAACTGACTAATTTCTACATGTTTTCAGATCATGCGTGTGTTTTCCAGGTAGAATGTTTTGTTTGTTTTTCATGATTGCTGTGAAAATAAAACTGAAATCAGTGTGCAGATTTCTCTTTTTTTTAAGCCTTAAAGCACAAATCAACTGAAATTCAGCCTCTAAATAAATGTTCTTATCTTTAGGGTTTTAGAGAAGCGCTACTTAAACATAACTGCTTCAAGATATTTATTGATGTTTAACTTGACACACTTCTTTTGGTCATGTACTCAGCTTCACTCATTTTGGAACAAAATGTTTCATTTCTTTTCAACAGCTTTTGGGAAACAATGGGACCCAGATCCACTTATTGACATTATTTGTGTCTCTAATGCTTTGCCATCAGCCAATAAATATGAGAAAATGGCTGTTTTGTTTGGTGTGATTGCTAAAAGGTTGATTTTGAGAGTTTGGACGAAGGACTCGGTGTCCACATTTGAGCTATGGCTGGGGGAACTGGCAAATACGCTGCATTTGGAAAGACTGAGATATTTGAATGAAGATAGAGTCAATGTGTTTGAGAAGATATGGGACCCTGTAATAAAATTTATTCAGTGAAAAGACTGCAAATGACAGACTTGGTAACGTTTAATAGTGCATGTGCACTTTTTCCTCTGTCTACTGGGAGAAAGATAGAGATCAATCTGTGCTATATTTACTCCATGTTGCTTCAACTGTGGAACTGTTACTTTGTGATGGTTTGTGCAGATGGGGAAGGGTGGGAAGTTGATTTATGTTGTTGAAGTTTGCTGAAATGTAAAAATACCAATAAATATTTTATTTAAAAAAAAAGCCATTTATTGATGTTATAGAACTCATAAAATCCTCATCTACATGTACAGTAGATATGCAAAGGCATGCACTATTCCTCTTATAAAGCTTTCTCCTGATCTTAAACGGGTCCAGCAGGTTGAGCATCATCAGGTTTTCTTTTCACATGACACACTTGAAATCCACATCTTCACAACAAAGTAACAGACTGAGCGAGAGCCTTTTATGGAGGAGTTGTGGTCTTTTCCTTTGTTTCTTATTTTACGGAGCAGGCCATTGTTAGGGCTGCCCCCCCTTCTGTCCTAGTTGAAGAGCAAAGAGGGGGAGGAGGTCAGGACTCCCAACCAATAGGAGAACCCAGATTCATTCGGCTGGATGAGAACAGACCAATAATCCAGCAGGGATTTAAACCGAACCGTTACTCCAGCAGCTCCATGAAAACCTCCAGTCCTCTGTGTGCTGCATGGATGAACTCACCTGTTAACTATTGTTTACTGTAGGCTAATGAGCAGGTTACAGCCTCCTCCTCCTCCTCACCACCTGCACTCACGCTGAAGGCCTCATTTCAGGATTAGATGACCCACTGAATGGGTCTGAGGTATTCCAGGTCACAGAAGTGCTGCAGGACGCTGCGTGTTTCCTGAACGCACTCGGACGTTTCCTCTCCAAAGCCATCACATTTCCTGCCATTACTTTGCTGCACATTCCTGCACATTGACTCATTATTCCAACGAAGGCTACAGATAAGTCTGAATATAGCCTCGTTGTTGATAACACCTTTCTCTATTTGACTAAACACTCAAAAGTTTGAAACAGCAAGTGCAAGGGACAATTTTCTCCTGAGTTTAGGAGGATTATTTCAACCCTTCAGGGAATGCATCTTAAACTAATAACTGTGTATACATGTCTACATCTGATGTGAGCTAATGAGGGTGTTTTTCATATAAATTATTGCCTGGCCTCCTTCAGCTAAAAGTTAAAGGTTTGATTCACTTTTAAACCTCAACATGCTGTTTATCATAAATACATTATTTATGTACACTGGCCATGCTGAATGCAATAAGCATTTTTACTCTTGTGTGTTAAAAATATATAAAATGTATTTTATGTTATATAAGCCTAAACACAATAATAATAATGATGCGCCCCAAAGGACAATTTTGTCAGTTGCGCAATGATAAACCTCAAATGTGATAAGAATTTTTTTTTTTAATGGTGCAAATCATGACTGTAGAGGGGAAGTCCTCCATGTTTGTGTTCAAAAAGACAAATTAAAGCAAACTTTCTGAAGCCAGCAGCCGCCACAGTATAAGCTGAAGTTTATGGATTCAACCTGTTGCGCTGTTGTTAATGCGAAGGTTTCTAACTTTTTCTCCAGAGGACGCTTTACTCACCTAACGCTCCCAGCACAACTGCCAAGCGATAAAAGTTCATTATACAGTCCGTTTTGATAGTAGGATGCCGTTTATCCGCATATTTTCCTGCTCCTTGTCCGCTTCAACTGCGGCCGCTGCGCACCCGAGTCAAGCCGCGTCTAACGGGACTGAACCACCGAGGAGGGGGGTCGGATCCAAAAGAACTCATTTACAGTGGGTTCAGTCCAACTACAGACAGGCTCGGGTTCCTCCAAGTGCTAAAGGATCCAGTTTAGGACGTGATAAGGCAGATTGTTGATGAAAATCCAGGCTGCCATTAGTTTGAAGGAACCGTGTTACACAAAAATGGTTCAACCCGCTGCCTTTGAATCATTTTTATTAAGAGCAATATAAAAATGTACTTTTTACATTCAACAGAGAACTTGTAGCACACCAGCATAAACACAAAACACTTTTAAAAAGTTAGAAATGGCCCTTTTAAAGAGACAGTGCTGAACTTTTCAAGCGAGGATCCGTACAAAGATTATGAGCAATTAATATCTTACCTGTTGCAGATAGCTCTTTGAACAACCTCAGTTTGGAAAACATGTTTTATTCAGATCAGATTAACAAGCTATCAGCAAGTCAAAGTGGACTAAAGTCATTTGTTACTTAACTACTTAACATTTGCTACCATCTTAAAACAATTCCCATCTCAAAGGTTTTGCAGTGATTCGTGCAAATGCTATTTTGTCAACTTTTACACAGCTGCCAGTGTTGTTCCAGTTATTCTGGCAGAAAAAAATATGATGTTGCTGCCAAACGTACACCACAATGCACTGGAAGTGCTACAAGCAGCTGTTGCTGTTATTTTTGCTCACAAATACCCATTTTTACATAAATACCATGAAAAACTGACAGATAAAAAAAAGCATTTGCATGAATAATATTTTAGAGTTAACTTTTTCAACAAACTCTACTTAAATAAAATAAACTGTACTTTTGTAGAGTACAATGCATTTCACAGCAACTTGGGAAATACAGCCATTACCAGACTGTGTACATAACAAAAACAACTAAAAAAGAATCTGCAACAACATTGTTATTTTGAATGATTGTGATTATTTTTTAATGGATTTGCAGTCAAAAACATAAACTCATTATTATGCACGTCAAATCAACTAGTTGTGGGATTTGTAGATTTTTTATCAGCTTTTTTATTTACAAATACAAATCAAATTATTCAAAATTATTGTTTAAATGAAGAATGAAAATAGAAACAGAAGTGAATTATAGTAAAGGTGAAGTGAAATAAATTGATCATTGAAATTAAAAATGCAATTATATGAACACATTCACTTTGTGAACAGTCACTATTTTTGTACAAATTAATAAACTATTTAGTAAAATTGATAAATATGTAAATAAAAACTGATGTTAACAAACCTTTAATATACTTTTTATTTTTTATTTATTTATCAGGTCTCTCTTGTAAATGAGTCCTCGAGGCTCAATGGGATTTACCTGTCTAAATAAAGGTTGAATGAATTAAGCCTTGACACACTGAGGACATACTTTGTACTTAAAACATCTTAATTTGAATTGTCCATCGGGAGTAAGAAGTTTTGTTGCAAAGAAAGATAAATTTCCTCTAACATTTTGAGTAATAGTTTGTTTTAGGTTAACTGCACTGTAATAAATAAGCAACAGAACATCTCAGAGGTATGTAGTATGGATCTTACGTTAAATGTGTATTGCATTTTATGGGAAAAAATTACAACTCATGTGGAGAGAGACAAAATGTAATAAAACAAAGAATTCTTGTTTTTCTTAGTGAGAAATTGATGTAAAAGGTGTTCTGAAACATTTTGAAATAAAGATATTTTTCACCACCATCATTAGTACCTCTAAATTTGGATGGTAAATGATTACAAATATATTTACATACTTATGGATGGTTTAACAGGGTTAGAAGGTTTTTTAATTTGTTATTTTTGGTATATTTTGGTTCGGTTCTCAAACTGTGAGGCACAATCCCTGGAAGAGAGGACCACTGCTTTTTTTTTTCTTCATAAATTTTAAATTTTGGGCCTAAATAATTGCAGAGAAGACAAATGTTCATACATCATTGCCACTTGGACTTGTTTTTGTGATAGACCAGAGAAGATGGGCAAAATACTGGGTAGAGTGGAGAGAAAATCCACACCTTACTGGTCAGCCAGGGAAGAAATACTGGTGTATTTCTTTTTAATGGAGAAAAATGTTGCTGCCTGGAGTTGGTGTCACTAAGTCAGGGACAAAATGTCAGACTGATAATGGTCAAGCTGGGAAAATGCAGCTCTTGCCACCTATTCCAATTTTTTTTTCCTTCATGGGGTGCACGGTACAAAATGTTTGAGAACCACTGAAAGACTCAGACCTGGTCTTAACCAAAAATCTTGCCAGAAGCTGTTAGTGAAACATTTTTGAACTTCTAGAAGAGCTCCAGTAAATCAAAATTATTAATTTCAATTTCTGTGTTAACTGGCGCTGTAATCACAATTAGCTCCATAATGGTTTTACCGATCATCGAGTCGGTCGCGACTTCCATACCGATCCCGTTGATCATCCAACCGATCGCGACTTCCATAGCGATCCCG